CTGCTCATCTTCCGACCTTCATGGTCATTTCGAGGTGCTGCTCGCCGCTGGTGCAATCACCTTGAAGCCGTGCAGACTTCTTGTGGGTGCCGGCTACCAAGCGTGGCAGTACATCATGCGCACCTACAAGGCGACTGACGACCTCTACATCGCCCAACTGGAGCAGAGTTTGACCAACATTCGCATGGGCGAACATGTCAGAATATTATGCTCTAGCCTGTAGTGGGGTGCTCTATAGCGAGTACAACCCTTCTAGGGTTTGCTATTTGTATCCCCATTCTTGCTAGTGCAAGCCCTCCTTTGCTCGTTTCTCTCTTGCCTAGCTAGGGTTTACCTAGCTATGGCTCCTGATTCTAGCTACTACCTTCACATGCTATCAGAGCGGTTACGCTCCTGGCCTGTGGGCCCGCCTGCTTCCGCTGCCTTCCTGTGTGTCGCGCGTCCCGTGGCGCGCGATGTTCGTTTTTTCTTCCCGCCGCGCGCTCGGGGCGCGCGGCGGTTTTCTGCCCGCCGTGCGCCCCGAGGCGCGCGGCGGTTTCCCACCGTCGAAGCGCCCCCCGTCGCCCGTCGAAGCGCTCCCCCCCGTCGCCCGTGGAAGCGTCCCCGTCGCCCGTCGGAGCGCCCCCCGTCGCCCGTCGAAACGCCCCCGTCGCCCGTCGAAGCGCCCCTGGGACCCGCGCGCGGCCCGTACGGGCTGCGCCAGGCCCGCGCGCGGCCCGTACAGCCCGCGCGCGGCCCGTACGGGCTGCGCCAGGCCCGCGCGCGGCCCGTACGGGCTGCGCCAGGCCCGCGCGCGGCCCGGGCAGCCCGCGCGCGCCTCGTCCGGCCTGCGGCAGGCCCGTGCGCGCGCCTCGTCCGTCCCCCGAGCTTCTGCCGGCGCCCCACCCCCGCTACTGCCCGCGTTCCTGTGTTAGGGTTTGGGGGTGGAGGGTATGGGGGTGCCGTGAGTGTGAGCCGTCCCCTGCTCCTCCTCCTCCTCCGTCTCCCACTGCTGCAGCTGCTGCTCAGGGGGGTGGGTGTGTGGGAGCCGAGGGTTTAGGGTTTAAGGGGGGTGCCATGGGAGTGGAGCTAGGGTTTCAGCAGGGGGTGTGTGAGAGGGGTGTGGGACGGTCGGGGGAGGTTGAGCGGAGGCCGCCGTCGTGTCGTCCGCAGCGCCTGTATTCCGGGGTTCTATTAGCCACCGGTAGCTCAGAGAGCCGGTTGCACCTGTCGCCCGTGGGTCCGTTGCTCCTGTCGCTGCTGATCAGACGCAGAGCCTGTTACTCCTGTATTCCGGGGCCCTTGCTCCCGGTAGCCACTAGAGTTGCACCAGAGCCGTCTGTTGCCCGTGTGTCTGCAGCTTCAGTCGTCGCCTCCACTTGCCCTCTGTGATTGCCTCTAGCTTTGCTCATAATTGTGAACTTTAAACTATTGCTTCTTGAACTTGTGCTCAGAATGTGTGGTGACATTGTGATCCACCCTGAGCTTGTACTGCTTTGCTTGCTCTGCTGATTACACCCCACTTTGGCTATGGGGGTGTGTCAGAATATTATGCTCTAGCCTGTAGTGGGGTGCTCTATAGCGAGTACAACCCTTCTAGGGTTTGCTATTTGTATCCCCATTCTTGCTAGTGCAAGCCCTCCTTTGCTCGTTTCTCTCTTGCCTAGCTAGGGTTTACCTAGCTATGGCTCATGATTCTAGCTCCTATTTTGACAGAACAGGGGTCGGCGACCAAGTACTGCGAATTTTGACCGACCTGCAGATAGCTGGCGTCGACTACTCAGTGGTGTCGTATGTCACGCATGTCATCCGAGGCCTCCCCATGAGCCCCGCCGTCCTCCTGCCCTGCGCGCCCCGTGCGCCCTACTGCTCTGCTGCCCAACGCGCCTCACGCGCCTTGCTACCCTACGCACCCCACGCACCCTGCTGCCAAATGCGCCTTGTTGCCCAATGCACCCCGCGCGCCCTGCTGCCCAACGCGCCCCGCGTGCCTTGCTGCCCAACTCGCCACGCGCGCCCTGTTGTCCACCTTGCCCTCGCACCCTGCTGCCATGCTCCTGCTCGTACGCTACTCCGCGCGCCGCGCCTTCCCCTGTGCGTTGCTCCGCCGTGCCTACTCATCCATTGCCGCTACAGCTGCCATTGCCATTACCGCTGCATCGGCCGCCCTGCTGCAGCTGTCCGCAGCCCTTTGCCACTGCTGCCCCTTCATCTGCCATTACATCTGCCGCAGTCGCTACTGTCACCTTCGCACTACTGTTGCTGAATGCCATTGACTGCCATGGCTACTATAACTGTCTTAGCGGTTGACGTAGACGGACGCCCTTTCAAGTTATGTTTGTGGATTGCGTGCCTGCACATTAATCTCCGGCGTTTCATTAGAGATGGTGTCTCCCTGATAGAGCACACATCAAGGTCCCTTCAGGCCCCCACAACTCCCACTGAGCCTGCTGCTGACGCTGGTGAGGACGTGCAGTGGCGGTACGGGGCGGATCGTGTTGCCTTCACACAGTGGATGGAGCACGACGCTGTCGTGCAGCTTGCCGTCCGAGCTCACCTGACGGTCGATCAGAGGGCCCACTTTTGCCAGGTGACGTCGGCCCAGGCTTTTAACGGCGCTGTGGCTAGACACTACTCCTCCCTCTCTCCTGCCACCCGCCCACTGCGGCAGCGAGGTTAGATGTTATGGGAGGTGAAGCAGCTGGTCAAGGAGGCGAGTGTAGGTACCTGTGCGTCTGCTCGTACAGGTGGTGCCGCTGCTGGAGAAGGAGGTTCTGAGGGTGGATAGCAGCGACAGCGGCGTCAACTGAAGGCCCTCTCGCAGAAGCAGCTTAGGGAGTGGTTTTCCTTGTGACGTGTCCCTGGTAGTGGAGAGGCTTCTAGTCTAGGTGCTTCTGAGTTTGCTAGCACCAGTGCAGTTCTTGCGGAGGCTTTGCTCACCTTCACGCTAGACTCAGGCGCATCGCTCTGATTCTTCCGCGACTACTCCACAGTCACACCACTCACCACACCTATCCTTGTCACTCTGGCTGACCCCTCCCTTGGCCCAGTCATTGCACGTGGTTCCACTGTTCTCCCATGTTCGACAGACCCCTCTGGTTCCCTCACAGGTTCCCACCTCCCCCTCATTCGCTACGAACTTGGTGAATAACGCTGTCCTCCACGATCACTTCATTGTTACCACCACTCCAGGCGGCGAGCTGAAGGCGATCTTTACGGAATCATTGACTAGCGACCACCTCGTCACGTTCGCAGATCTGGGTCTTGCCTGTACACACTGTACGTTGAGTCTGCACAGTTGGCTGTGTCCGGTCAGATAGTTGCGTCTTGCTCATGTCGGTTACTGACACACCCGTCCCTCCTCTGGCACCATCCTCTTGATCACCCCTCCCTGCAGCGTCTGCGTCGCATGCACTCACATCAACTTGTCTTATGCCTCCCAAGGTCCCTGGCACTGCTCCTGCCGTCGCTTGCGCCACCGTGCACTCCCTATGTCGAGGGGCGACAGCGCGCCGCTCCTCATTCCTCCTCGTTCCCTCCGACCATTGCTTCTCTGCAGATCCTGCACATGGACGTGTGGGGCCCAGCCCCCGTCCCTGGGCCGGGCTGGGAGTGCCACTTCCTGCTGGTCATCGACGACTACACGCGTTACACCACTGTGTTTCCCTTGTGAAGCAAGGGCAACATCCGTCTGGTTTTGATCCCTTGGATCCGTGCCGTTCGTCACCAGCTGAGCGCACGGTTCCCTCATGACCTCCCGGTGCTCCAAATACACTCTGACCCTGGAGGTGAGTTTTCCTCCGATCTCCTTGAGGACCTTTGTCGTGAGAAGGGCATTACCCAGTCGTTCACGCTTCCGGCCTCTCCGTAGCAGAATGGGATCGCTGATCGCCGCATTGTCTTGGTCATGGAGGTTGCTCGCACCTCCATGATCCATGCAACTTCTCCCGATATTCTGTGGCTGTTGGCGCTCCGATACACCGCGCATCAGCTCAACTTCTGGCCCCGTGTCTCCGAGCCAGAGACCTTGCCTACATTGCGTTGGACATGGGAAGTTGGCGATGCGTCGGCGTTTTGGGTTTGGGGTTCGCCTGCCCTTGTCCGCGATACCATCGTGGACAAGCTCACTTCTCGCACTGTCCGCTGCGAATTCCTTGGCTTTCCAACTTATGCACCAGGCTGGAAGTTCTACCACCCAGCCAAGCATCGTGTCCTGTCCTCCCAAGATGTCACCTTTGACAAATCGGTCTGCTTCTACCATCTCTACCCCCTCGCATCTTCCCCTGCTCCCTCAGGTGTGTCTCAGGTTACACCACCCCCCTTGATTGAGCCTTTGGAGGTCTCCTTTGACCCGGCTGAGGGGAGTGACACTGCTGCTGAAGACACTGCGGCCTCCCGCCGCTCCCTGCGCTTGAAGGCCCCTCCTGGCTTTCGGCCTCGGCCGTCTTCGCCGCCTCTGCAGCCCGTCGTTGTGGACTCAGGTGCTGCTGGAGGTGGTGGCGCTAGAGGTGTGGACTCTGAGGGGCTGACACTGGTGGTACTGGTTCTCGAGGTGCTGAGCGTGGGGGTGCTGAGTCTGGAGGTGCTGAGCCTGGGGGTGGGCAGCAGCTGTCGCCGCGTCCGCCAGGAGACTCTCTCGCGGCAACAGTTGCGTGAGCGAGTAGTCGGACGTCGTGCTGACCCTGGAGGTACCAGTTCCGGGGGTGCTCAGACTGGGGGCGTTGAGCCTAGAGGTACTCAGTCTAGGGGTGGAAAGCAGCTGCCGTCCCGTTTGCAGACGACTCTCTCGCCGCAGCTGCTCTGTGAGTGGGTGGTCTGGCATGGTGCTAAGCCTGGATGTATTGCATAATGCCCACTCTGGCCAAGGTTAAGTTCATACAGACTCTGGCCATTCAGGATATTTTGGTACAAACACATACTAGTATACCAAACAAGAAAGCAGCGCAACCACTCAAATCCACATCTTGAAGTGCACTATGGACATGAACAGCTGCACCCTCATAGCAGAAATCATGCATCCACTACTTCACCTTGCGTATCTTCCCACAGAGTGCATTAAGGTTCTTGGCATGAAACACCTTACTGTATTTGCCTAGTCGGGACACCGTAAGGGCGACCTGACTACGAAGATCAGCAACCTTACACGATTGGTCTGTTTCACCCAAATACTTGAAGCTGTAGCGCTTGCGACGACCGACCTTGTTACTCGTGATGTTAACCATAGTATAGCCGAAGGAAACTGTTGTGGGAGAAGTGCAGGAAGTGGCACTGCCGCCGACAATGGGGGCTGCCCCACCAGAATTTAAGTTTGACGCGTGGAAACGAATTCTGATGTTGTACAAAGTTGATGAGTACCTGCCAAGAGGATATGGAGAGAGATGGCCGAGAGGGAAACATGAGAGAGGGCGAGGTGGGCGGGTTGGGTTGAGAATAGGGGAAAGAGGGTGAGGGAGTCGGTTGAGTGGAATGTGGAGGTTGGGGGTGGAGGGTGTAAGTCCTGCTGATTACACAAAGGGTTGAAGGGCATCTGCTGTGCCTGAATAGGGCCGTTATAGGGGGGATGAAGAAGGGATGGTGATGGGGGCGGGAGGACAGAGGGGCGAAAGGAAAAGGTGGTGCGAGGGAAAAGAGGGAAGAGGAAGGTAGTAGAGGCAGACACAGGGGGAGGAGGCCGCGAAAAGAAAGGTTGGGAGAACGGTGCAAGGAGGGGGGGGGGGGGGGGGGGGGGGGGGAGGGAGAGGAGGAGGGAAGGAGAGAGGGCTGGAGGAGTAAAAACTCCCCGATACAATCATTCACAGAAGCGACAGCTTTCCCTTCGCCCCATATACACCAACTCAAGCAGCGCACCCTCCCCATTCATATTTTTCCGTCCTATCATCTCAACCGCATTTCGAGATTGAGCCAAAACGCCTCAACCGTGAGGAGATATAAAAGTTATTACTAGGGACTCACATCAACCCCGTGATCACAAGTTTCGCAGATGCCCCTTTGTCGCCGATCACTTTGCCCTTGACCTTGGGACGGTACTTGACCACGTACTTCACTGGTAGGGGGAATGGAACAGATAGGGGAGGGGCGTGGAAGGACAAATGGGGTCGAGTGCTAATAGCAACACTGAAACGCCATCTGATGCCGATAACTTTCCAGTAATGAAAGAGCGACATGGCTGCGAGTTGGTCGTGTATTCACGCAGCAGATGGGGCGACATCATGCAGAATCACATGCAACGCAGCAATCCCACCACCCAGTGAAGAAAGCATGAAAACTCATTCACTGGACATTGGAGGAGGTGGACTACGCCTGCTGCTTCTACCTACCACACGGCGTGTGGAAACACCGCGGTGCAGCGAGGGCAGGAAATAGAGCGGCAAAGCCTTACTCAATGCTTTCCCTTTCCATGGCTTGGCCTGAACTGCAGACGACCCGGTACCGCCACCGCTGCAGGCCGAGTCGAGCGGGAAGATTGATGCAGTCCCGGCGGCGGCAGTGAAAAACGCCGCACCTGACAGGCATGGCGGCAGCGATGGAACAGCATGATGACGGGGGGAGGTAAATTGTTTTGAACAAACCCTATAAGTACAATGTTTGACCCTGCAATGTAGCTACTCTGAAAATCGCCGCACGCACCAGTAACGTGACATAATTGTAGCTCCGGCGAGGAACATTTGGGATGCCGCTGAAGTGGTGCTTACAGAGCAAGAGAGAGAAGAGACGTCCCGTGCGCCGCTCCATGGTAGTAGAGTACCAGTAACTAAAACGTAGACGGTGAAAATGACGATTTCTGATACATCATTGGAAAGCTGGTGCTGGCGACCCTCGACAATGAAGTAGTACTCCTTCCCTTCTACCTCAGAACTTGGGGATGATGGGATCACGAATCCCATGGGCATGGAATGGATGGCCCTGCTAAGTTTGCCAGGCCGCCCCGGCGGCAAGTGGCGGCGGCGCTTCGGCGCAAAATGTGTGACTAGGAAGCCTCGCGCCGACGCGACGGACCGTCAAGAGTGGCGGAGTCGACCGGGGAGCGCGCCTCCACCGCTCTAGTGGATAGGACCCACAGTTCTCACGTGTGTCCAGATCCGATCACGAGATTACTGCTCGGAAGCATTGCGGAAGCTTCGAAGTCTCCTCTCTACACCCTAATGCTCACTTAACCGCCCACAATGAACTAGGCCACTGCCACCCCATACACCCAGTGGTCGACATTCACAGCCAACGGCCCCGAGCCGAACGTTACTTGCCCACGACAAAACCAATACATACTTTACAAAACTGGGCTAACCACAAATTTGGCTGCGATAGTACGTTGAGGCGGTAGCCCCGATACTACGTTCAGTCACTTTTTGCCCCTCAATGTCAGGAGCTCGAGAGTGGAGCGAGGGGAACCATGGGTAAGCAGACTGAAGGGGCATTCGGGTGTATCTGCAAGCTGGTCGCTCTTTGCAGAAGTCAAGTGAGCAACAGTGAAACATGCATTGCTCTACCTTAGGACGCGGCACCTGTTTTCATTTTGCCAGGATCGATCGATCGTGGGTGGGTATCGATGTGCCGCTTGTACAGTGATTTGACGACATCGCTAATGCCTGGTATCCGGTTTTCGCAAAACGTCGAGAATATACAGTAAACTGGTACTCAAAATGGTGGCACCTGCAGCTCGCACGATCGATGTGCCATGGTGCACACATCGATCGTGTGTTTGGGTTGGCGGGAGGGCACATTGCGCCATAGGTGACAGACGCGATCGATCGGCGTCGCCAACGGTCGCAGATCAATAATGATTGGATAACGACAGGCTGTTCGTCACTCTGAATGGTTAACGACTACTTCGTTTGTGTATTTCGTTTCGAGACCTACCTGCCCGATCCAGCAATTTCGATCCTGGCACCCAAGGCTCGGCGTGTTTACAACACCGCAAATTAGCAGTTTGTGCACATCGGTGTGCCGATTGATGTGCGAGAATCGGTGTATGGGCATCGATTCTCCCTCGATCCTCGCAAGATGAAAACATGTGCCGCATCCTTACCACGCGGTTCCCACCCCCCCCCCCCCCCCCCCCCCTCCCCGCCCCCCCATCGATCCTGCCCTCGATCGATCGAGGGACAGCTACAGTGTCGCAATTGCCAGGGTAACTACATTTCGAAATGCCTAGCGAATTTTGTAATGAATGTGAAATTCATTAAAACCAGGATCTCAAGTAAAAGAATTGCGCGTCAATTGCAAAACAGTTGACGCTAGGGTCACCCTGTTTGAGTGGGCGAAGTGGAGTGACGGGTTTGGGGTTGACTCTGCGACACATTCCCCATTTTGCCCCTGATTCAATTGCAAAACAAATTGCAGGGGACTTGAGACTTTCGGGAATCTGAAACATTGTCTGGTACTTCAGCTTCGGCACCGAACCAATTTCCGTGCCTAGAAGGCTTGGAAACAACCTGCGACTTGTTTTTTCCTCGCACCCCTCGCTTCACTCCTCCCCAACTTTTGTACCTCGCCATCCAATCCCAGCCTAGCACTATTCACCAACTGCAAAACAGAAAAAGTACTTGAGATCCCGGCTTTAATGTAGAACTGTCCTTAGCAAGGACAGCCCTGAGCAGTTCGCGTCAGTGTGGCTCGGCCTACACTTTCGCACCGAACCAGCCCCGAGTCGCCCCGCACCAATTGCGACATTCCCGAGCCACGCACATCGAGGTCCTCGCCTAGCACGGTTTCGACCCTATAAATGCTCGCTTCATTATCATTCTCGTGATTCGGTAATTCTCATCCTTCTTATAAAGTCTTCCGCGCACTCTTCTAGTACAACTCATAACACTTGGTATCAGAGCCTAAGTTCCTAGGTTCCCCGTTTTTTAGAGTGTATTACCCCTCGGGGGGGGGGACAGGGAAGGATGCCGTGGTGACAGGAGTAGCGCAGTAGCCGGCCAGGAGAACGGGTAGTTGCTCCTAGCGGCCATGAATTTCTCTAGCGCTCCTACTGCACCGACGGATCCTTGCCCTCGACGGTCAAGATCGACCGTGGCCTCCCTCCCCCCGGGTGGCGGACAGCTTTTGCTGTCGTCGCATTTAATGCGTAAGTCACTTGCATGGCGTTTTCGTCATTTTCAGAGTTAACGTTGTGTGACAGCTGACGTCGAAGAGACCGTCGTCACTGCACATCCGAGATCGACGGAGACAATCGGCGTGCGAGCTGCGTCGGCACGTGGCCGACAACTGCGCGCGACAATTTCGGCGTAAATGCGTGCGGCACGTGGCGTCGGACGATTTCGTCACGTTGCGCACGAGAAATTCGGAGTCTTCGGCACGTGGCGATCGTCGTCACTGTGCGCGAAGATTTCGGGTGGCTTCACGTGTGAAACGACAGCTGGCCGGGCAGGCCAGGCGCATGGTGATTTGCGTCGGAAAATGCAACGGCGAGGAGAGACGGCGTGGCGACTGCCCGAAGAAAGCGGGGGTCTACCGTCGTCCCGCCCGGGTATGGCCGGTGTGGCTGCAGGAGGGTGCGTCGTTGGCGTTTTCGGCAGGAGCGGCACAGTGTGGGACGGAAGTTGTTTTTTAAGCCACCGAAAAGATCGGAGAAAACCGCCTACGACTAGACTGTCTATCGCTAGGGTCACTGCTGCGCCTGCACCACGATCGGCGAAATTTTCGGAGCAACAAGCAGCAGCCGACACTGTACTTCAGGCGGCACAGTACCCCCTGATCAAGGGTAGTTGCGCCTCAGACAGGGCAGTACACCAGCGGGACAACGTTTCGGCGCAGTGTTTAGACCTGCAATTTTCGAGGGTTCTACCGGCTACTATGCACGGAGTTGCGTCGAGATCGGGTTTAGCGAGAGAAACGGGTTTCGAGCTTCAGGAGGCGAGAATTACGACCCACGGGGAAACGCTCAAGCTGATGCCTAAACGTTTGCGGCTAAGCGGCGGTAGCCGGATGGGTTCCACCACCGGCCAAGGTTTCCGAACGTTTCACGTACCTCACGCCCAGAAGGCCTCGAAGGCAATTGTAAGACCAAAGAGCCACTGGATCCAAAGGTGGGGCCCTGTGTTTAGCCCTGTGCTGGCTAAAAAGCGCCAGTTCGACAGCTGGGCGTACAAGAAATTTTCAAGGTTGGGACACTGTTTCGGCCCCGACAAACCGGACCATCGGCAGCTGTTACCCCACCGAAAAAGTCGGAACTGAAGCAGTTGGTGCAGCTGTCGGAGTTTCTCCTAATTCGATGGTCTACCCGACAGCGGTGTAGCGGCGAAGAAGGGGTTCCGAAGCTGTGGAGTTTTAAAAGCGATAGACGTGGTGGGCAACGAAGCAGCCGGCCCGACGGTTTGATCCGATAAACCTGATCCGGTTACGATAGCATTCGCGCCTTCACCGATGTCAGAAAAATCGCGGGCAACACGGAGTTATACCTCATCCGACAAAAGCGGACGCTGGGTGAACGGCGGCAAGCGAAATTGTCTGGGGTTGAAGAAAAAAAAAAAACAAATGGAGGGAAATTTGTGGGTGCTCCAGCAGATCTCCAGAGTGAAAGGTTGAGAACGTGCGCCACTCCACCGCGAATTTCGGAGTCTATTCGGTAGACCCCCGAAAGGGTTTGATATAATGACATGAAGGCGCGGCGAGGGGTGCATCGCCAAGGATACCTGGGATTCGCTAAGTAATTTCGACGGGTGCGAAGACGGGTGAACGTCGGAGTACCAGGGTTAACGGCGGAAACGTCGGGGTTACGCGGCGGAAAATACTTCGGGACTGCTTCAACAACCATGATTTTCGGGGTTCATTCCTACGGTGGGAGACGGGTGAACGTCTGCCCGCTAGCTGTTTCTGCATTTTACGGTGTACTTCGAGGCCATCTGGGGAAATTCTACAGCGAGATCTGCGGCGTTGATGCGGGCTAGGTTCCGTGAAATTCGGTCCCGGTAGACCCATAGTTCTGGGTTCCGCACAAAAAGAACATCCTGTTGGTGGGTTGCTAGTGTGGTTAACCGCAGTATTTTAAAATGGCGACGGGTGGGCACGCTAAATGCACCGGTGTCAGAAAGAAGAGACTGGAATGATTGAACTATGAGTGAAAGCAGTACAAGTACCAAACCCTAGAATTGTGTACCCCCCATAGGCTAACCCACTGTAGCCTAAACAAACACAACATATATAATGTTTGACACACCCCCATAGGCAAAGTGGGGGAGAGCAAGGGGTCACAAGACCAGTCAAAGCAAAGCAAAACAAGCTCAGGGTGGATCTCAAGGATACCACACAAATTCCGAGCACAAGCAAGCGGTCACAAGACCAGTTCACATGCAGGTTGATAATATAACAAGAGATACAGTGATCACAACCTAGCAAGTGTAAACATGCAGGTATATATATAAAGATCACAGTACAAGCAGGGTCAAGAAGTAAGTAAGTGAGGTCCAGCAGGCACAAGGCCTAGAAGAGTACAGAAACGCTGATGGTCACAAGGCTGAAGCGCCTTGGTGAACACATCAGCAAGGTTGGCCTCAGTGGCCA